CTTCATCACATTAAAAATGGAAATAAAGAATGCAAGAGCTGTGTTGCTGGAAAAGACTAGCACCCATCAAATCTAGCCTTGACCCCAGCAGCGGCCAGCGAGATGACCCTTGATGCATGCTGGTTTTTGGAGCTGCACTCCATCGGATCCTAAGAGTTTCTGTTTGATGTCCAAGGCCTCCCTCTCTCTTTCATGATATTCTTCACTCTGGCAGTTTAGCAAGCGAAGTAACTGGTCAGCAGTATTTTAAGCGTTCATGTTTTTGTTATTGATTAGATAAAGGCCTGCCTTTTTGAAATTATTGCCAGTGAGTGAATATATCCCTCCAATCCTGGCTGATGATATTTTGTAGTATCAACATTAAAAAAAAACCTTTAGCCATTTATAATAGTCTAAGGAGGACATGCCCTGTCCCTTGAGGCCTCCTGTCCCAAATCCATCATAATGGACCCCAGTTTTGGGAGTTCCTTCGGATTTCTTCCCCTGAAGCGGGCACAGGAGTTTCCACAGCAATTTAGCAAGAAATGAAAACATGTTCCTAATGTAGTTGTATCATAAGTCAGGTTGTAATTGCTCTTCTTTTGGGGGGGGGGAATGAAAGTAAACATTCATTTTATAAATCCCAGTAGGCTACAAAGTGTGTCATTTTCCATGATACGCAAGCTATTGGAAAAAAGAAAGCCATTATATCATCAAAGATTAAAGACTAGGCATTTGTACATGAGAAAGATGCATTTTTCTCATGTTAAATCAACTTCCACAAGAAGGTTTTTTTCCCCCCCCTTTATTTGAATTATAGGTCAGTTTTTCCCAGCCTGATTGAGTCCCACTACTTTGGTTTATTTCTTCCCTCCTCCCCAGGCGAACTGGGACTTTCAGATATCTGTTGAGTTGTCAAGTTTGTTGTCCAAAAAATTCTTGACTTTGGTTAATAGCTGGTGCAATGTGCCTGAATTGAACTGTTGTTTTTTTTTTTTAAGCTCAGAACCTCCTTAATTGGCAGAGCATTGGCATTTTATAGAAGTTTGGATTCTCTGATAACCCAGCCTTGTTCGCTTTTTTAATTTATAAAGTATCTCAGTCTCTAGAGCAGTGTTTCTCAAACTTGACAATTTTAAGGCATGTGGACTTCAACTCCCAGAATTCCACAGCCAGCATGAGGGAAACTTTGGCCCCTTCATAACTTGTGGACTTCAACTCCCAGAATTCCTGAGCCAGCAAGAGGGAAACTTTGGCCCCTTCATAACTTGTGGACTTCAACTCCCAGAATTCCTGAGCCAGCATGAGGGAAACTTTGGCCCCTTCATGACTTGTGGACTTCAACTCCCAGAATTCCTGAGCCAGCATGAGGGAAACTTTGGCCCCTTCATAACTTGTGGACTTCAACTCCCAGAATTCCTGAGCCAGCATGAGGGAAACTTTGGCCCCTTCATAACTTGTGGACTTCAACTCCCAGAATTCCTGAGCCAGCATGAGGGAAACTTTGGCCCCTTCATTACTTGTGGACTTCAACTCCCATGCTGGCTCAGGAATTCTGGGAGTTGAAGTCCACGAATCATCAAAGAGCCAAGGTTGCCTACCCCTGCCCTAGAGCAGTGTTTCCCAAACTTGACAATTTTAAGGCATGTGGACTTCAACTCCCAGAATTCCACAGCCAGCGTTGCTGGCTGTGGAATTCTGGGAGTTGAAGTCCTCATGCCTTAAAATTGTCAAGTTTGGGAAACACTGCTCTAGAAGCTATACAAAAATTAGGAACTGACCCCAGAGGCCAGTTTCAGTGACTCATTTATGATGGAGTCCAGTTTCTGAGGTTTGGTTGCTGGGTGTAGTCATAGTAACAAGCCTAAAGTATCCCTTTCTTCTCTCTTTCAGCCTTGCCTTGAGATGCTGCTACGGGGGAGATCTCCTGCTCTAGGAATGGGTATGGCCTTCAGCGAGCCCATCTTCCTGTCTCAGCGAGCCCATCTTCCTGTCGGGACTGGTCCCTCTGAAATCGTAACCACGCTGCCTTCCATCTCAGCTGGCCACCAGAGAGAGCCAAATGAGAGTTTAATTCTGTTTTCTATACTAATGATGGGTTGGTTTGCAATAAATGTCACGTGATCTCTGAAGGTGCTGGGAGCAAATGTCACGTCTCTGCTGTTTCTTTGCATTCCCAATTAATTGCTTCAGTCTTCCTGCAGTAAATGATCTGCCCTAGGCATTCGAAATGGTTTCTCTTTTGTTGTTGTTGTTGTTCTTAATGGCCCATGGGTTGTAGACAAGTAGTGTCTGAACAGCTCACCTCTTTTTTGCAGATCATAGTTGGAGGCAAACTTTCCTTCATTATAGGGGTGCAGAATTTGCGGGATTTCAGGACTAGCACTGAATTCTTGTTGGCTTTTGGGCCACAAAAAAAAAAAAAGAGCAAAACCATGGTCCTTTTCTCTACGCCAGCGGTTCTCAACCTGTGGGTCCCGACCCCATTTGGGGTCGAACGACCATTTCATGGGGGTCGCCAAACAACGAGACCCGCCATTTTTTTTGTCAGCCGGCGCAGGGGGCGGCGCCGCGCATGCGTGCCGTGCAGGGGGTGGCGCCGTGCAGGGGGCGCTGCCGCGCATGCGCGCCGCACAGGGGGCGCCGCCGCGCATGCGCGCTGCCTGCTTATGACCGGGGTCGCCGTATAAAAAGGTTGAGAACCACTGCTCTACGCGAAGACAGTTATATTGTCCTTTGTTTCCAGCAGCTCTGGCATCTGAAAAAGCTAAGTTAAACATTGCTCAGGTTTATGCTCTATTCAGATAAGTCTCTTAAGGTCCTGCTCAGTTCAGCCTATAAATAATAATAACCTGAAGCTGACACAGCTGCCAACATCTAGAAGCCCATTTCCCTTTGGCTGCCGTTCTATTTGTGTAGGCTAGCTATTAAATGAAGGATGAGAAAGAAGACATACTTTGATTATCTAACAACTCTTTATAGATTTTTCTGGCTCCTTAAAATTAGCATACCAGGGTTTATGGCTCCGTCTTTCCAAGACGACGTGAAATGCTCCTTTTCGGGACTCACTGGATCAAAAGGGCCTTCAGAAGCTTTCTTTGAGGTCGGGCTTGGTCCAAAGCCTTCCTTGCATCTCATATTCATACGAGAGTGAACAGCAGGAGGTTTGTTGACAGTGCACATCTAATGTATGTCAGTTTGCTTCTTGACTAGGGCAGAGAGGAATGCATATGGATGGGTTCATCCCTTAAAACAATCCAGTGCATTTTTCCTTCACAAAAGAGCATTTTGCCCTTCCAGATTTCCACTTGCAAACAGGAAAAGGACTAGAATTATTTTTACTCACAACCTTAAATGAAAACAAACTTTCTTAACGTCTCTCGGTTGGGATGAATTAAGTTCTGTGTGATTAAGCAAGTTGCCTTTTTTTTTAACCAGAATTTACCATCCTGCAGTCAATAACTGAAAAGCAAAGCAAGAGTGGATAGGATTATAGAAGCTAGTCTCTACAGACCTGGTTGGCCGGCTGGGGAATTCTGGGAGTTGAAGTCCACATATCTTAAAAGTTACCAAGATATAGAAACGCTGCTCTAGATCAGTGTTTCTCAACCTTGACAATTTTAAGGCACGTGGACTTCAACTCCCAGAATTCCACAGCCAGCATTGCTGGCTGGGGAATTCTGGGAGTTGAAGTCCACGTGCCTTAAAATTGTCAAGGTTGAGAAACACTGTTCTAGATGAAGACAAAGCTTTTCCTAAAAGTGTTGGGGTGTTGATGCCAGCGATTGATTGAGGGGAAGGTCTGTATTGTGTGGTTCATTATTTACGACGATGTGAGCATATTTTCCCATCTTTTGTGAGCCACCAGGATTTTATTTATAATTGCAGCAGGATCGAAATACGATTAATTAATTGATCCAGGGGTTGCTCGCAATGGGATATACATTGTGTACATAAATAAAAAAATAAAAATCAGTAGTTATGTGATCTGCCATGGCCACACTATTGCAGTTTTATTGGCGCATGATGGGTTTTGTGAACACGGCACTTGGAAGTCAGCAGCCTGAGGTTAACCTCTAAGCATCTTCAACGGACTCATTGTGCTGAGTTTTGCTGCAGTAAATCGGCATTCCTGAATGTGTTTCACTTTGAGAGCGGGCAACTAAATTTCGTTTTTGATGTGTGCCTTTAGACCTACAGTAAAAAAAGGACAATAAAGTTTATCTTATGATATCTTATCTTATCCCCCTTCACACACACTTCCAAGTTCAGCAGGCTTTTTCATGGCCCGAATCTGTTTTGTAGACTTCTGCCAGATGGTGGTATATCACCCTGTTTAATCAGCCTGTTATCTATAGCTGTGTAGAGTCCCCAACCAAGAGTGGAGGTTCAACAAAAAATCCGGTTGTGTCCGCAGAGAATAGTGAAGACCCAAGTTTGCAGAGACAATAGTTTGCAGCAACAGCGCACTTGGGTGTTACAAACCTGGTCAAGGGGAAAGGATTTTAAATAGATGGCAAGCCCTGCATAAAGAGTGTAAAAACTACCAAACAAACACGAAACTCCTTGCCATGGATTGACATCTGTTGGAACTGAAGCTTCAGCCTTGTATCTTTGAACTAGTGATAAAATCCAAGCATCTCAGCTGCCTTCACAACTGGCAATTTTTCCTGCTGTTCGCCTAGTGCAAACACAAGGTTTTTGGCAGAGCGCTAGGAAAGGGATAAATGTGCCATGAGCGATTTAATATCTTCAAAGGCTTTGGATGATCCCAAAATGCTTGCACATCATTCACATAGGTCTGGCCAAAAGTTAGCTGCCATAGCTCTGGTTAACCCCCCCCCCCTTGTGCCTGTCAATCAGCATCTGCTTCAGGCAGATAACTCTATTGCTGTTCTGCATTAGATACAGCTGGACCGTTGGGCGATTATGGAGGCCAGAAGATAATCCTGATTTTATAGACAACACAAAGGTTTCTCCAAACGAAGTCAGGGTTCCCTTCACTCCACACCTTGATGATTTGTTGTGGGGGGGGCAGGGTCTGGAGTGTGCTTCTGCTTTTCACAGGTCAAGAGCTGTGCATTTTGAATAGCCGAGTATCATTTGCGAAAACCCTGTTCCAAAGCTGGGAGGTCCATCTTGGCCAGGGTTTCCCCTCCCCGTCTTGCCAGCCAGTGGCCTGCTCCATCCTAGGGCTTGCGGAATAATTGACAGCTCAACAGCTGACTTTTGAATATGCTGCTGCTGCTGCTGCTGCTCCTCCTCCCCCTGTTGGACTTTTTCAACAGGTTTGGCTGGTGCATAACTTGAATAGCTGAACTGCTTTTTATCCCGGCCCCTTTGCCCCAAGGGGGAGGATTAAGTCTCCTCCTGGGCCTTTGGTTCGCTGCTGCTCTTTCTTGCTTCCGCTACCTGGTGACACACACACACCTGCCTTCCGGCATCTCCAACAGAGGCCCTGCCTTTCCCTTGGCAGGTTGCAAGTCCTTCTTCGATCTCCGTATCTTTCTGTGCCTTGACCTCCTCCTCCTCACACACACCCCCTTTGAGCCAAGCTGGCATGGCTTGCTGGCACCCGGGCGTCCGTTTTTCTTCCAGCCTGACCATCTGTCTGCTTTCCCTGCTGGGTGAGTTTAGGAAATGGGCTCCGTGGTTTCTTCCCCCCCCCCCCACCAGCTGGTCTGAGCCTGCTGGCTTCTGGCAGAATTTGAGCTGCGTTAAGAGGAACAAGCAAAGTTCTGTCTGAAGGAGAAGGTCAAATTCCTAAGGGGTACGGGGTTGAACCCCCTCTTTCCTGGATTGAATGAAACAAGAATTGAAATTCAGGAAAGGAACAGGGCTGGTCCTGCTATAAGAGCAGCGTATCCAATGGGGCAATAAGGATGGATTTGATCAGAGGGGGCTCTGCTGAAGGAGCTGTCTAAGATGCATCACCCCCCCCCCAACACACACACCCTTTAAAAGAGCCCTGAGGAAGAGGGGCTGTTAGGGACCCTCAAATTCTTTGGATTTGCCACACACCGAAGTGGGTGTGTGACCCACCTCCGCTGCGGCAACAGAAGACCCTCCAGGTTGCCATATTGTTCTTACCGAGGGTATTTGTGCAGCACAATTGGCTTTTGCGGTCAGAAACTGCATGGTGGAAGCAGCCTCATCTAGGAACGGTCCACTTTGAGGGGGGGGGGAATGGAAAACCGAAACCTTGCTGACTTTTCAGCTTTACCCATATGAGCTCTCCTGGCATTCCGCCCCCCCCCCTCTAAATTAGGACATGCTGTCTCAGAAAAAGGCCTGATTGTGCTTGTTCAAAGTGATGCTTGAAAGGGTTAGTTGCTGCCTGAAATGCTGTGTTTTAACTCTTGTCGCTTTTGATCCATTTTTATTTTATTTATTTTTTTGAACTGAGGCAAGGAGCGTTGTGTAAGTTCAGGCAATAAATGCTCTGGGTTTCTGTGCGTTGTCCTGAGCTTCTGGGCGTTGGTCAAAGGTTGCTGGCATTCTGCCTTCCTCTTTTCAATAATCAGGTGGACAGGGTGGAAAGTGAAACTTCACCCCGCTTGCTTAACTTGGCCATTGAATTTAACCTAAAGGCAATCTTGAGATTGAGCTCACCCAATGAGTAAAAGCCACACAACGAACTAACCAGGCTTAGAATGTGCAGGCTGACCTGCACCATCTTGGGCTTAAGCTGGTTAGGCATCGGATGTGATGAAAACCAGAGAAAAATTTAGACTCTGGGAGTTGAAGTCCACAAGTTATAAAAGGGCTACAGTTCCTCATCCCTGGTCTTAAGGATAGCATTTCTATCTGCTAATCTCTGCTCTTTCCTGTCTCAACTTTCCCATCATTGGTTGTCACCTTATTCTGGTGATAGATATAAATTAGTTGGTGGCTCCCTTAACCGCAACAGGACCGACAACAAGCCTTCTTCCATCCCTTCATCCTAACCAAATTGTTTCCATGCTGATTTTTTTCCTGTTAAGCTGAAATGAAGAAGGGATGGGGGAACCTTCCCACTTAAAATATAACCACCTTTCGATCAATGCCTTCTTCAACCAGAGCCCAGCACAGAGGATCCTGGATGCTCACCCCCACCCGACCCCTTCCTGCTAGATTTATAGCTTTCTCCCATCCCTGCCCCTCTCTCTTTCCCCTTAAGGGGCTGGCCCATCCATTACAGCCCGTGGTGGCTGCTGAGCTCCCACTGAGCCAATTTTCATCCATCTTCTCCTGTCGTCTTCCCCCGCTGGCTCCTGGCTTTTCTCACTCAGCTCCTACTAATGCAGCCCCTGGCGTGTGGCCGATGCTGTTGTGCAGCTTTTAATTTACAAGGGCTCAGACCTGGAGGCCCCGCTGGTTGCAGGGTTCGCTATATGGCTGGTTCAAAGGAGGAGTTGGGGATGGAAAAGGAAGGGTCGGGATTGGGCTGGGCCAACCCATCGGAGGACTTTGCTTCTCTTCCATGGTGCTGACAGGCAATAAATGGACTTTGCAAGAGAAAATGGAAGGAGGGTGGGAGGAAGCTTGGGGGTGGGGTCTTCTTCGCGGCATGGTGTGCCACGTTTTCAGCCAAACAGGGAGGAGGGAGTTGTCAATTTGTCATTTCTGAAGCTCCCTAAGTTAAGAAAGCCATAGCAAACTTGGGACAATTGCATCACGCAATGAGGAAGCATAAAAGGCTGTTTCTAAGTTTGACTGCTATTTTGAATCCTCAGGAAGGCTAAAAGCAGAATTTCCCAACCTTTTGGGCACCAGGGACCGGTTCCGTGGAGAAAGGTTTTTCCATAGACCAGAGAGTACGTGGTTTTGTGTGCTGCCTGCATCCCACAAATGGGGCTTTGCTTGTGTATGTAGACTGGTTGCTGGCATACTGTGGCCCAGTACTGGTCCACAGACCAGGAGTTGGGAACCCTTGGGCTAAAGGCCAGGAGAAGAGAAGGGAGACCAAACTACCCTATGAGCCTTCAAGTGTTCTAAGATGGGCCTGTTCAGACAGTAGGTTGTGTATCTTCAAAGGATGTAGGGAAAAGAGTAGAGTTGTGGTCATTCATTAATGTCATTGTCTTAATTGCCTATCATTTTTGTCCCATACTGGGTGGAAGATCTAATACAGGAGAGTAGACAACTAATAGCAATGTTCTCATGAACTTGCATAAGTCCTTCAAGATCCAGTCCTACTTCTGTGAGTTTCTCAGTTGATGGATTGTAAACAACTGGATTCACCTTGGATCTCCATCAGACATTCTGCCCCCATATTTATTCAGGTGGGATTGGGGCCAGCCTATACATTTCATCACATGCCCTTTGTATGTGTGGAGATGAATTTCAGGCAGCAGCTAACACATGGGGTGGAAACAGATCAAGACTAATAAAAGTGCTAGAGGCAACCCACCAGATTGAGAGTGAGGTGGAAGAGGTGCGAGGAGCAAAAATTCAAGTGATTTGAGTTCATGTGTTGTTATGTTTTAGCACAACAGAAGTGAATTTGACCAGACTTATGGCAAAAGTTGGACCATTGAAATGACAAGAAGTTATAGCTATTCCCCCCAAAAATCAGGATAATCCAATTGAACTGCTTGTTGACAGAGCAATCCCTGGCGGAGTAGTTTAGCAGGGAAATAATTCAATAAATAAAGTGAGTCAGTTCATTCTGAGGCAACTTCAGGTGTCAGATTTAATCCTTTTTCTTCCTAGCACTCCCATCGTGTTAAGCCACGGTTAGTTGAATAAGCCACAACTTGTTGAGTTCACACACCATATTAATTCAGAATCAAACCAAGCATTTGAGCTGTGCAAAATATTTCAAAATCTCCTGAGCACGATAGTAACTTGAGCTCCAAATGAAATTTTTTGAGCGTTTTTGGAAGGCTTTTTAAGCTCAAAATGGCAACCTTAAACCGAAAACACTTCTAGAATGGCCAGCAAACCTGTTTCATTCTCAGCCTTCTAGGCAAGGAATGTTTTCAGCTTCCATCCATACAAAAAACACAGGATTTGGGAATAATTGAACAAGGACAATGAAGCTAAAAGTTTGCCTTGGGATTATCTCACTCACCATCGAGGTGTGCAAAAGATCTCCGGTGTGCCTTGAGGCATTCCTTTGATCCCGATGGTTCCAGCCATTAATTCTAAGTGGTTCTTCCAGGCTGAAAACTGAGTCACTCCAGCTTGATGCTTTGAGACTTGATTTGGCAGGCTGCTTGATTTATTAATTTTTATTTATTCATTAAATTTGTTTGCCTCCCATCTCATTGTAAGGTGTGACTGGGCAACTTACAACATTAAAAAGAATTTTAAAATACAAAAAAAATGCCTATAATAAAAATAAAACGCTATAAAAATACAAATTATCAACTATAAAAGAGCCGTGGTGGTGCAGTGGTTAGAATGCAGTATTGCAGACTAACTCTGCCCACAGCCAGGAGTTCGATCTTGACTGGCTCAAGGTTGATTCAGCCTTCCCTTTTTCCAAAGTCAGTAAAACGAGGACCCAGATCATTGGGAGCAATGTGCTGACTCTGTAAACCGCTTAGAGAGGGCTGTAAAGCTCTGTGAAGGGGTATATAAATCTAAGTGCTGTTGCCATAACTAAAAGATGGGATGGCTTTATTTCTGCACCTGTCCTCTAACTTCACAAATGGCTCTGTCTAGCACACTGATGGTAAATCTATGACATGATGCGAAAGGTGACACACCATAACATTTTGGGTGACACGCCAACATTCACCAACACCTGACACCAACTATTCTTGAAAGCGTGCCCCTTTCTCGTGTGATTTTTCAGAGGCTGCTGCAGAGACTGTGTGAGAATGGGGTGTGCCATCATGTGGCTTCTGGACCCTCCAGAATTTGCACACAAGGGCCGGGGTCTTATGCAGCTTCTGGAGCCTCCACAAACCACATAGGGCCTAATTTTAGTGCTGATTTAAGTTGGGTTCTGGGCTGTTTGCAAGATGAAGGGGTTGTGCTTAGCAAGAGTTGTTATTCCACGTTTAGCCAGGTCTGTGCTGGTGATAGTGTGTCAGATGAAGAATTGTGGGTCTGTGAGATGTTTTCAGTCAAGATGGAGGCAAGCTGTTTTCCAGAGAGCTAAGTCTCCATTTCTTAGTCCTCTGGTCTTATAATTAACTAGCAGGCAGAGGTCCTTCCTGTCATCAATGGTGAGGTTTGGAAAGATATCTAAGGCATCATCTAATGCAGTGTTTTTCAAACTTAGTAACTTTAAAATGTAAACCACAACTTGCAGAATTCCCCTGTCAGTATGATGGCTGTGGAATTCTGAGAATTGAAGTGCTTATAGCTTAATGTTGCCAAGTTTGAAAAACGCTGATCTAGCGCCCAGGACAGGAATTCATTATTATAACATTCACTTACATTTGCTATGTATATACTTGCCTGTTCTTCTGCATACAAGAAACCAATCAAATTTTATCTTGATGCATGAAAAGATGGGGAGGGGTGCTTCTTTGTGAGCTTATCTCTATGAGGAGATAATCAGAGAGGAATAGGATTGAAATGGCAGTTCTTTATAATATTTATTAAGAGATTCCAGCTTTCTTTTTCTAGTAGAATGCCATGGTGATGGGTCTGCCTTGTAAAAGTAAATTATTTAACGGAAGCTTAATTTATTTAAATGTATACAAATTTAAAACAGCTGTTGGCAAGCTTGGGGATTGAGTTTTAATATCAGTGCTCATGACTATATAATGTTCATTACAACTAATTAGAAGAGAAAGCTGAGGCTACAGAAATGAGGGTGGACGGTGGTGGAGAAAGAAATCTTTTTGTGTGTGTGTGTGTGTGTGTGTGTGTGTGTGTGTGTGTGTGTGTTTTAAATATCTTGTCTGACCATTTCAGTTGGGCTCCAATGTTATGCTGAGCCTCAAACTAGCCTCATTCAGCCCTAGGATATTACAGAAAAGCAGACTTTATCTTCCTTCTCTAGTTAAACTGAAAATAGTAGTAAGGATTCTTAACATAATTCTTATTTTAACTTCCTGACAGTGACAACAATTAATCAGTGGAACAACCTGCCGCCAGAAGCAGTAAATGCTCCAACACTGGAAGTTTTTAAGAAGAGACTGGACAGCCATTTGTCCGAAATGGTGTAGGGTTTCCTGCCTGAGCAGGGGGTTGGACTAGATGACCTCCAAGGTCCCTTCCAACTTTACCATTATTATTATTATTATTTCAGAAGAAGGAAGGAAGGAAGGAAGGAAGGAAGGAAGGAAGGAAGGAAGGAAGGAAGGAAGGAAGGAAGGAAGGAAGGAAGGAAGGAAGGCCATTTCCCTTTCTCTTAACTATGATAACTGGGTTCGGGAATTAAATAAAGAGAAGGGGACATATTGGACGCACAAATTCAAAAACCCTATTCATTTTCTAATATTGATAGTATTTACACCCTGCTTTTCTCACAACTCTGAAACTGGCCATTTTTGGGAAAACAAAGGGCAAGTGGATTAGGCTGATTATACTTAAATAACATTTAAGGCCAACATTTTAAGGGCTGAGACGACTGCTCACTTCCCGTGCAAAATGGTACCAAATCCAGCTAGTTTTAAAGGTGGCCACAGGCAGCCATATTTGAAGCTGTCTTGAAAGCTTAGTTATTTTGAGATAACGATGCCTGAATGTTGATGTTTGTACCTGTTTGAAAACCTAATTCCAAGGGAAGTAGACATTTGGCAAGGGCTGGGTTGCCTGGCTGATTATCCATTTTTAAAAATGTGTTATTTGTGTGAACCTGTAATAGGAAAGTTATCTCTCTTCCACAGTCTTTAAGCAATCTTTATGGCTCTTTGATGGCCCACAGAGGGACAAAGATAATTGGGTGAGTGTCAGGGCAGGGAGTTGATGGGGAAAGTGGAAAGGAATCTAAGAAAATGTATGTGTTGATTTGCTTATTTACTTATTCACACGAACAGAAGCGATTGCTTGAGGATAGCCACTTATTTAAATTGACTGTTGCTTGGATTTACGGCTCGGATGCAGATGGAGGAAGACCTTTTGATGTCGGCTGCAGAAAAACCTCCATGGTTGTTAGGAAGTTATTTAAAAAGTAAATAACTGACTATTTGCTTGAATGAGAGGTGAAGGCAGGAGTGACTTTATATCATAATGAGAAGATGGTTAATAAAAGCAAGAACGGATCCATCTAACCACAAGGCTGAGCTAGAGAGCTTCATCTAGATTCCTATCCTCCCAAAATTCTCCATTTCCATCTACTCTTGAAATTGCCTCATGTTGCCCTTTATAGGAGTCATTTTCCACCTCTGCAAGGGATACCATATCTGGACTGCAAAAGGCTGACTAGCAATAGGATTTAGACTTGTATACCACTTTACAAGGCCTTGGTAAGGCCACACTTGGAAGATTGCATCCAGTTTTGGTCACCACGATGTAAAAAAGATGCTGAGACTCTGGAAAGAGTACAGAGAAGAGCAACAAAGATGATCAGGGGACTGGAGGCTAAAACATATAAGGAACGGTTGCTGGAATTGGGTATGTCTAGTTTAACGAAGAGAAGGACGAGGAGGGACATGAGAGCTGTGTTCCATTATCTCAGGGGCTGCCCCAAAGAAGAGGGAGTCAAGCTATTCTCCAAAGCACCCGAAGGCAGGACAAGAAGCAACGGGTGGAAACTGATCATGGAGAGAAGCAACCTAGAACTAAGGAGAAACTTCCTGACAGTTAGAACAATTAACCAGTGGAACAACCTGCCTCCAGAAGCGGTGAATGCTCCAACACTGGAAGTTTTTAAGAAGAAACTGGACAGCCATTTGTCCAAAATAGTATAGGGTTTCCTGCCTGAGCAGGGGGTTGGACTCGATGACCTCCAAGGTCCCTTCCAACTTTATCATCATCATCATCATCATCATCATCATCATCATCATCATCATCATTAATATCATTATTATTATTATTATTATTATTATTATTATTATTATTATTATACCGCTTCATAGTGCTTTTACAGCCCTCTCTAAGCCATTTACAGAGTCAGCCTATTTGCCCCCAACAATCTGGGTCCTCATTTTACAGACCTCGGAAGGATGGAAGGCTGAGTCAACCTTGAGCCGGTCAGGATCGAACTTCTGGCAGTGAGCTGAGTTAGCCTGCAACGTTGCCTTCTAACCACTGTGCCACCACAGCTCTGCCCACTAGACTAGAGTCAATCAAGGGCTGCAGACAATTTTTTGCTGCCCCCATGAAGACTTTTGCAGCCCAGATAAGTTCACTCCATCCATTGCAACTTGATTCATGTGTTTCCATTGAGAGCAGAGAAAATTATATTGACTGCTTACTTGTTTTCTCTCTTTTCAGCCCCATTATTCCCTGTTCTATCTTCATACCCTCTGGCTGCACTTGTTGGGGATTCTGTTTCTCTCCCCATTCCATTCTCTTTCCCCTCTGCTCAGATCCAAATCACTATCATCTGGAGAAGGAATGCAACCAACGTGGCAATAGGAAACCTGCGCCCTAATTTTACAGTGACGGTAGATCCCAGCTTCGAGTCTCGGTTCAGCGTGGACCCCATACGTGGCAACCTCAATATTTCTGACCTGCAGACCACAGACTCTGGCATCTATTCAGTGGAGATCTTCCTCTTGGGGGGGTTTGCCCAGAAGGGAAACATCACTCTTACAGTTTATGGTGAGTTGGATCAAGTTTTAATGCCATTGCTATGAAGGTGCTTTCTTTGGTGCCATTAATATCTCAACAGCCCTATTAAAAAGGAAGTTCCTGATCTTGCAAGCCAACTCTTCTGATTTATTTATCCTCTCTTTTTAATTTTGCTCTGTCGAAATTTGGGAGCCAAGGATTGTTAGTGTTGAACTTCAGTCCCCGACAGCTGTGGTTGGCACACAAATGGTCAGAGATTTGGGGCGCTGTAAGTCAGCCGTATTTTGAAGTCCATATTCTCCCCGGCCCTGTGCCACAACCTAGTGAACAAAATCCATTTCTGTGTCCATGTGGCACCACGTGCTAGATCCAAACAAATGCGCTAATCTGGAATATCGTATGATGATCCAGGTTCACAGATATGCCAGGATACTTACTGAAATCACAAATTACCTTATCCCGTTTTACCTTCATCTCCTTTCCTGTGGGAACACTCCTTCTAGGTCAGTGGTTCTCAACCTGTGGGTCGGGACCCCATTTGGGGTCGAACGACCATTTCACGGGGGTCGCCAAACAACGCAGTCCGCCATTTTTTTCCCCCTTTTCCTTAGCTGTGCTACTCCCTTTTATTCTATGGCTTTTGAAAGCCAATAGAATAGACTCTCTGAATAGAGTCTAATTCTATTGGCTTTCAAAAGCCAATAGGAATTGTCCAGGCTGTCTCTGCCCTGCTGAGCCCGCCAAAAGTCCCATTCTGCAAACGGTGCTGCACCAGTTGAGTAGTCCTCGACTTACGGCCGGTTGAGTAGTCCTCGACTTACGACCGGTTGGGGGGTCTCGGCATTAAAAAGGTTGAGAACTACTGTTCTAGGTTGTGGCCATCACAGTTTGCTCCTTGCCCTTACTGCTGACTTTTGTTGTACCAAGAGATGCACGAAAAATCTTACTTCCATACAAGCAGGGTCACGTCATTAACTTGAGGGGCTTTAACACATCAGAGACCTTGCCTTCTCTTTTTGCAAAGTGCAACAGACAGCTCATACCTGTGTGTTTCCTTAGAGGAGGTGGGCAACATCTCTGTGGTTCCATCATCTGCAAAAGTGATCGAAGGAAGCAGTTCAGTGGCCTTCAACTGCACCCCTGTCCACGGTTTCGTCTTCTGGACCAAGGATGGTCACAGCCTGGCTGATAATCCCCGATATTTACGTTCATCTGGTTACCTGCAAATTAGAAACCCTCTACGGACTGACGCTGGTGTCTACTCATGTACCATCTCCAACCCTTTCGGCAGCGCCACTAGTACTGCCAACCTGACTGTCTATTGTGAGTACACCCTTGCAATAACCAGGTTTACACGTTGTTGTTTTATAGAGCTGTAGAATTGTAAAGTTAAATGGACCATTTAAGCCAATGAATGTAATTCCTTGGCTGATGCCTGCTTGGACAAAACCCATGAATGGAAGCCTAACTTCACTTTAAAAAAAAAAAAAAATCAAAATCTCATTGTTGCACTAATTTTATCATTAAGAAGTTTTTACTTACATTCCATTGCTACACACCATGCAACAATTTTGTCCCTGAAGCTGGCATCTCCTTTCTTTGTGTGTTTTGGGGAGGAAGGAAGTTCAGCCCAGCTCAAAAAAAAACAAAGCAGATATTCCAAGCTTTGCAATGAACTCTTTGTGAATCACAGGGGCGGGTTAAAAGTACAGACGATACAGCTCACAAATAAATAGTTACTCCATCAAGTTAAGTAGCTCCATCCATCAACAAGGTCATAGCTGGGTGCAAGGTATGTGGGAATGATCTTGGGAGTTGGGGAGAAGAGATTGCTGCCTAGGGAACGGTCAGATAAGACCATTATCTGACAGTCCACTGGCTGCGTAATAGGTGGGGCACTGGTTCAAACGGGATCCTCCCTAATTTCTCAGGGGCAAAGGTGATGGAAGGAGAACTGTACTTTCGGGGACTTGCAAAGTTCTGTTAATGCAGTGTTTCTCAACCTTGACAATTTTAAGGCATGTGGACTTCAACTCCCAGAATTCCACAGCCAGCATTGCTGGCTGTGGAATTCTGGGAGTTGAAGTCCACATGCCTTAAAATTGTCAAGGTTGAGAAACACTGTGTTAATGTCACCTTACAATAGAACTTGGAGGAGAAGCAAAACCTCTTCAAGCAAGTCCAATTGCCTTTTGGGAAAGGGGAAAAAAAGCACCTTTGGGGAGACTTACAATAAAAGTAGAATTCGGTCACCTGGTTGTGGTTCCTGCCTAGATTACCTGCTAAGGCTGACACTGGGGTGACTAATGCTGGAAAGATAACGCAGGGCCCCTGCTAGTGAGCCTGGTAGTTTGTCGCTAAATCAGGGGTGTCAAACTCAATTTCATTGAGGGCCGCATCAGCATTGCAGTTGCTCTCGGGGAGGGCTGGGTGGGTCTGGCCAGGGTGGGTCTGGCCTACTGGGTGGGCGTGGATGGAGTGGATATGGCCTACTGGGTGGGTGTGGCCAACTCTACATCGTTCCCGTCAAGGGAGCCTGTGGGTGCTTGGGCAGGAGTGGGACAGATCTGAGGGTCTCTGGCAGAAGGGGGTGGGACCAGGGCAAGCGCCAAGGCATGGTCCATTTCTTCATTCCTCACAAAGTGTGACACCTCCCCAGCATGCACCCAGGGGGCGGGGCCGACACGGCAGGGGCTGGTTCTAGATGGCCTTGTGGAGCTAAGACTGAATGCATTTCAGCATAGATGGCTACCACAAAATTGTACATTGGCTCCCGGCCGGCCTGGGCCAGGGCCAAGGCAGCGGGGGCCGTTCCCTCACTGTTTCCAGGATGGCTTTGCGGGCCACATGAAACCACTTTGCGGGCCACATCCAGGCCCCGGGCCTTGTGTTTGACATGTCTGCTCTAAATAAACAGATTTTGCATTAATAGGGAGTTACCTAGTTCTGTTCTTTTGATTTCACCCAGATGGTCCCGAGACCCCAACAATTACCGTCTCATCCTCTGAGCAGGATTCCGATGCTAGAAACTTTGTGCTGGTGAACAGCACTGTCAACCTCACATGTTTGGCACCCTCCGACCCCCCGGCAAAGATCTACTGGAATGTGGCTGACAATATGGATCCCTTCGTCCCTTCCTCACCTGTTCTGCAGCTCCACAGAGTGCAGCTGAATCAGGGAGGGCCGTATACTTGCCTGGCTATCAATCAAGAGACGGGGCTACAAATTCGTAAAACCCGCCTTATCAACGTTGTCCGTTAGTTGACTTTACTTTTATCTTCCTTCCCTGTTGCAAGGGTGGGGGATGGGTGTGTGTGTGTGTGTGTGTGTGTGTGTGTGTGTGTGTGTGCCGATCTTAAAGGGAAGACGGGAGCATACAGGGGCCTGAAATGTATTTCTAGAAAGCTTTACAGATAGTCGTCTTCTTACGACAATTGAGCCCCAGATTTCTCTGGCTAAGCGAGACAGTTGTTAAGGGAGTTTTGCCTCATTTTACAACCTTTCTTGCCACAGGAATCCCTGCAGTTGTTAAATGAGTAACACAGTTGTTAAGTGAATCTGGCCTCCCCATTGACTTTGCTTATCAGGAGGCTGCAAAATGGGATCACGTGTCCCGCCCCGGATGCTGCGACCATTGTAAAGATGAGTCAGTTACCAAGCGTCTGAATTTATGACCAGGTGACCATGAGGATGCTGCAACAGTTGTTAAGTGTGAAAAAATGGTCCTAAGTCCCTTTTTCCAGTGCCGTTGTAACTTGAAACGGTCACTAAATGAACTGTTGTAAGAACAGAAGCTGTTTCAGATTGGAAGTTGTAGGTCAAACAATCTATTGAAGGAGTCTGACTAGTTATGACTAAGGAGGAAGTTTGCCAGGTGTCAAAGAAACGAGATAAAATTGTTTACTCTCTCTCTCTCTCTCTCTCTCCCACCCATCTTTTCCTCCTTTCTCCCTCCTGTGGTCAACCAGAGGAGAGAGATCCAGGTGCTGAGCTGACTGTTTAGCAAAGACTTATGGAAATTAAGCCCAGCATTGAAAACGGGGTTGATCCCCATTCAATGTGACTGTTTTTATGGATTTTTCTCCCTCTTATGATTCAGCTAAGTTGCACGAAATTGCTGCCACTGGAACAGAAAAGTGGGCTCGAATGCAGAATGACACTAATATAAATTACAAGCCTGAAATGCGTTCTGAGCTGGGGTGATTGCAGATGTGCTCTGGGAGCACACACGTTGTACTGTTAAGAATAACGTCCCTGCACTTTTCTGGAAGGGGTTGAGCTGGGTGGATTGGCGGAAAAGATCTGGAAATGCTAGCTGTGAGTAAGGGTGGGTTTCAGGAAGAGAAAAGTTAAGTGGCCATTGAGTAACGGGGAAAGAAATGGCGAGTTTCAAGAAATGAACCAGCTCAGCTGTTCATCTCAATATGCTCTTGAGATTGTGAAGAATTCCAGCGAATGGGCTTTCCGTGGTCCTTCCTACTCAACTCAGCTTTTGCATCGTGTTCTTTTTTTCCCATCTTGGAACACCACAACCTTCACTCCACCGTGGAACCCAGCATGGGTGATTTGATTTGCAGATTCCTAATCAAGCCCGTCCCTCTGATCAATTATTGGAATTGTTTTTTAAAAAATAAGGCATGTGGTAGGTAGTCCATGGAAACAGAATGAAATGGAAAACGTCAAGAGAAAAATAGGTCAGGTTGTTTGCCATGTAACCAAGGGATGCATATATCTGCACATGTGTGCGTTTCAGGAGACAGAATAGGTTGCAGTCATATTTTTGGCTATTTTAAAGGGAAATGGAGATATCCCACCTCCCCACACTTCCAAAGAAAATTCTGGCTGAAGGAAGGAAGCAATGCAGCTAAAATGTCTTCCCCACTTCTGGAATCCCATCTTCTGATTAAAGAAAATGGAGGATCATTCTGCTTTTTGCTTGGGGTATCGTATCATAGGTGGAAGTGATTCTCAAAATATGGATGAGGAGAAGATACCTGGATGGCATCCCATCCTGCTCAATAATCTAGATTATTCCCACACTCCTCTGCAAATCAAATGTTTTTTTCTTCCATTGCTAAATACATAGTGAAATCACCTCCCCACACCCATACCCCATTGTTTCAAACACCCAGGATCTTTGCCTACCTTCCTCAATCTAATTTAGAGACCCATGGTGGCATAGTGGTTAGAAGGCAGTATTGCAGGATTTAATTTATAATTTATAATAATAAAGTCGGAAGGTACCTTGGAGGTCATCTAGTCCAACCCCCTGCTCAGGCAGGAAACCCTATATCATTTTGGACAAATGACTGTCCAATCTCTTCTTAAAAACTTCCAGTGTTGGAGCATTCACCACTTCTGGAGGCAGGTTGTTCCACTGGTTAATTGTTTTAACTGTCAGGAAGTTTCTCCTTAGTTCTAGGTTGCTTCTCTCCTTGATTAGTTTCCATCTGTTGCTTCTTGTCCTGCCTTCAGGTGCTTTGGAGAATAGCTTGACTCCCTCTTCTCTGGGGCAATCCCTGAGATATTGGAAGACTGCTATCATATCCCCCCCTTGTCCTTCTCTTCATTAAACTAGACATATCCAATTCCAGCAACCGTTCCTTATATGTTTTAGCCTTCAATCATCTTTGTTGCTCTTCCCTGTACTCTGCCCACTGCCAGGAGTTCAATCCTGACCAGCTCAAGATTGATTCAGCTTTCCATCCTGCTAAGGTTGATAAAATGAGGACCCCCAGATTGTTGGGGGCAATAGGTTGACTCTCTAAACCACATGAAAGAGAGCTGTAAAGCACTGTGAAGAGGTATATAGGTTTAAGTGCTATTGCTATTGCTAGAGAAGGCTGTTTTATAGCAAAAGATTACAGCAGATTAGACTGCAGCCTCCAAATATTATACAGTAAGAGTCTACCCTACAGTAAAGTCTAAGCCAGCCTGGTGGCATTTTTCAAAAATTAAACGGTCTTCCTAATAATTGCTCACCGCTACCTTCTTTTCCCTCAGCGACGCCATACCTGGTACTTAACATGCCGGAGTGGTTCAATCAAGTATGTGAAGCTCTAGCATTCAGCATCTTTGTTTTGCCTCCTTTTTTCCTAATGTTAAAATATTCTGAGTCCACAAAAGTGCATGAATTACTCATCCTCTTCTTCTTCTTCTTCTTCTTTTGTTACTCATCTTTAGAAGCTCCTTGGGGATCTCCTCATTGTTCCGTGACTTCGGTGCAAAATGATTCTGCCTTACTTTTCGTCTGCTCCTGGACTGGAGGTTCACCTGCTCCGAATCTCACTTTCCAGGGACTCCCTGGAGACAAGGCGGAGATCAGTGCCTCCAAACTGCAGACCTTGCTGGGGTCCCCTTTCCCCGCTGGGTTCAGTGGCACGAAGGTTACTTGCTTGGGTCATCACTTAACTGGGCAAGGCAACTGCACCTTGATTCCAGGTAAGCTGAAGAAACAGCTGTGCTGATGTGTCCTATCTAAAATGGCTGCTGGCTGTATCTTGATGATGGGATTGAGGCAGTGGTGGGATTGAAATAGGTGAGCAACCGGTTCTCTGTGTGGATGCCGCTTTCGGAAGTCCGTTCTGGGCCTGGGCAACAAAAAATTAGCTACCGGTTCTGCTGAAGTGGTGCAAACAGGCTGAATCCCACCACTGGATTGAGGTCATGTGTTAGCAGGGTCTTAAAAGGTGCTTAGTGGATGATTATTTGATCCACTGAACCTCACCAATGTCAGGTTGGCCTCCAACCCTCCTATCCTTTTATAAGGGCCCAAAGACCTGGATCTGCCAGTTGACTTTAGGCCCCAATGGGAGAACAGCACAGTGAAGGTGGTAACAACAGATCCACCCCCGCCCTCCTCACATGTCCTTAGATTTTAATCTTTGGTTTTAATTTATTTATGTTTTAGTGTAGATATATATTTATGACTGTAAGCTGCCCAGAATTACCTTATGGTAAGATGGGTGGCCAATATATTTTATAAATAAATACATTTGTGAGCCCTTGATCTGAGTAAATTAGGGGTTTCTGAAGTATCCTAATTAGTCCTTTGTCCTGATCTAATTCAAAAAGTTGCATTTATGAAGATCAGAGGGACAAATCCCCACATTGGTTGGCTTGAAAACCTTGGAAGAAAATAAAGGCAAAAAAGGGGGCAAGGACAAATGCAAAAAATAAATTTTCCTTGAAATGAACCATTCCATAAAACGAACATTCTAACATTCCGTTCCTTCTCTTCAGATTTGAGCTAGCCTGCAAGGTACGGATGCAACATTTAAATCACAACTGCCACAATTCAGACTTTGAGACCATGTCGTTTTCAATAATGTCTTTCTCTTCCCTTTCTCCAGAAGCCCCCTCAGGGGTTACATTGTCATTCCAGGCATCCAGTGACCCCAGAGGGCTAGTGACTATGCAGATGCATTGCCAAGGCACCTTCAATCCGGTGGAAATTAAATGGTTTAGAGATAAGCAGTCATTGATTCCTGTCGGAGGCCATTATCAGCTAAGTCCTGACAGAATGCATCTCACCATCTGGAATTTCACTGCTCCCCAGGATCTGGGAGATTACAGCACCATCTGCTCCAATCCGCTGGGATCACAGCAATCTAACCTCATTATTATTGGTGAGCCAACCCCACACAAGGAGAGAGATAGCACTAGAGAAGTTATCTTAGTATAGGTCAGGGGTAGGCAACCTTGGCTCTTTTATGACTCGTGGACTTCAACTCCCAGAATTCCTGAGCCAGCATGGCTCAGCATGGAAACCTCTCCATTTCTCCTCAACATGGCTGGCTCAGGAATTCTGGGAGTTGAAGTCCACAAGTCATGAAGGGGCCATAGTTCCCCCATGCTGGCTCAGGAATTCTGGGAGTTGAAGTCCATGAGGTATAAAAGAGCCATGGTTGCCTACCCCTGGTATAGGTAGTCTTCGGCTTATCCACCAAAATTGGGACCTGAATTTTCATTTCTAAATGAAGCAAACAGTTGTTAAGTGAATCACACCAGTTTTTGCAACCCTTTTTTTTTGGCCACGGTTGTTAAGCAAATCACTGTTAAGTGAATCATACAGTCATTCCCCCATTGACTTGGCCTGTCGGAAGCTGGCTGGGAAAGTTAGACAGGGTGATCTCTGGATAGTGCAACTTACCACCACAATAGAGTCCCACGTTTGTGTTGTTCAAAGGGAGACATTTGTTTAGTGGGTTTTGCCCCATTTTATGACCTTTCTTGCCTCAGTTGTTAAGTGAATGGCTGACCCATGTTAGGTATTAACTTGGGGAAGATCTAATTGGTTGCATTTCATATCTATGGAATAAACAGGGTGTTTGCTTCTCTTGGCAGGCCCCTCAATCTCTGACTGGACTTTGTCAAGTGGACCCCATCCAGGCACTGCCTCCCTGACTTGGACAGTCCCAGACGGGTCAGCGGTGACCAGTTTTTTGATTCAGATGCAAGATCCAAAACAGCACCGCTCTGCTGAGGAATGGACTACAGTGGAAGTACTAGGAGCTACCAACCGATCCACAACTGTTATAGGATTGCAGCCCCAAACAGCTTATGCTTTCCAGATCGTGCCTTATCTGGGATCCCAAGCTGGGAATGCCACTGAAATTCTCACCCTCCGACCAGGTAGGTACTCAGATTTAGTAGCCGCAGCTGGTTTCAGGAATATATTTGTTGTTGTTGTTAGCTGCGAAGTTGTGTCCGACCCATCGCGACCTCATGGAAAACGTTCCTCCAGGCCTTTCTGTCCTCTACCATCTTCTGAAGTCCATTTAAGCTCATGCCTACTGTTTAGGAATATATTACCAAACCACAATGTGATGTACTATCCGATCTTCACACATGCAAACCAATAATAACAACTTGCGTGAACAAAAACAATCTGCTCACAGCTCTTATGCATCAAACTTCAAAAGCTGTTCATATTTAAGAGCAATTTCTTGGCTTTTGGGGAGAGATACTTAAAAAGAGGGTATTTCTTCCCCGATTTGACCCATATCAATTTTTGTCCATGGGTGTTCCAAACCATCCATTCCAGCATCCAAAGAAAGCATAATGAAATATTTATTTAGCAACATGTAGGAAGAAGACTAAAATACGTAAGGGAAAGTGTGGCTGAGTGAAATTAAAACTGTGGAAAATCAAGACACTTCCGGTCATTTGTGTACCCGCTGCTCAGATGGTACAGGTGTTAATGCGAGAGGGCCATAACATACTATTTCCATTTGTGCTTGTTCACCTGAAAATGATGCTTTTAAAAAAACTTGAGATTTTATAGCATTGAACAGACAGTAGAAGCGTTTGAAATGTGAAAGATTTTTAATGCCAAGTCGAAATATTCCCAGCTACCGTTTTTAGAGATGCACTTCTCAGCCAATTAATGTCCTTTGCCATAGCTGTTAAAAATGAGGCTTAATAACTGAGGCTTAATAACAGGCTAGTGTAAGGAAGGGCTTAACAAGTATGTTCTCCTTGTGGTGCAAAATATTGCTTTCAGAAGATAAGAAATATTTTTTCTTAAGCCCCTAAATTAGTGTTTTTCAACCTTGGCCACTTTATGATGTCTGGACTCATAAAATGAATTCTGGACTCCCAGAATTTTCCAGCCAATATAGAGAATTCCCTCCAGCATTGCTGGTTAGGGAATTCTGGGAATTGAAGTCCAGACATTTTGAAGTGGCCAAGGTTGAGAAACACTGTCCTAAACGATGTAATTTTTTTTATCTTTTTCATCGTTTGCTGCCACTGTTTTCTCAAATTGCTTTTGCTTTGACCCCCGTCCCTCCCCAACTCTGACTCACATTATACAGGTAATCCTCGACTTACAACAGTTTGGTTAGTGTCTGTTCAAAGTTATAATGGCACTGCAAAAAGTTACTCATGACAGTTTTTCACACTTACGACTGTTGCAGCATCCCCAGGGTCACATGACCAAAATTCAGATTCCCTGGATCACAAGATCCCCTTTTGCAATCTTCTGACAAGCAAAGTCAAAGGGGAAGCCATTGAAGCAACCTAGAACTAAGGAGAAACTTCCTGACAGTTAGAACAATTAATCAGTGGAACAATCTGCCTCCAGAAGTTGTGAATGTGCCAACACTGGAAGTTTTTAAGAAGAGACTGGACAGCCATTTGTCTGAAATGGTATAGGGCTTCCTGCCTGAGCAGGGGGTTGGACTAGAAGACCTCCAAGGTCCCTTCCAACATTATTATTATTATTATGGATCATCGCACAGTCAGCCAGATGTTCAGACTGGATTTGGCATTTTGTCTACCTATCGAGTCCTTACCCAGGACCTGGGATAGATAGATGTGGATGTTTGATGGTATTACAGATATCGTCGCAGGAATTATTATTATTATTATTATTTGCTTAACAACTGTGCCACTCACTTAACAACTGCAGTGATTCACTTAACAACTGTGGTAAGAAAGGTTATAAAATGGGACAAAAAACTTAACAAGTGTCCCACATAACAACATAAATTTTGGTCTCAATTGTGATCGTAAATTGAGGACTACCTGTATCTGATTTCTCTCTAAGACTATTCACAAGGAGGATCCCAGGCATATATCAAAGAATTGATATATTTCTCAATGTGATGACATCTGCTGCGGTCACATTAGTAAACTCAGCAAACTCCGATAAGTATTGAATAAATCCACAGCTTTGATTCATTATGATGTTGCTAAAATCCAATAAAGCCAATTCAGTAGAAGAACAATGCTTGCTGTGTACTTTAAACTCTTTTATAGTAATCATCAAAGTATGATTGAAGGAGTTCTGTATTTCTCCATGCTGCCAAAAATCTTTAAGAAAAAAATAGTACACAGGGATTCCACCTTTTATAAAACTAGCTCTGGATTTAAAAGTTCAGAATCTAGATTCACTTTTAGCATCCAGTTTGGAAATAGAGTATGTCCCAAGTCATCTGATAAGCAGAGGCTCTTAGTTGAACAAACCTGCTAGCTTAAGCCCCTGGCTCAAATATGGCTATTTCTACCTTTAATAGATTTAGTAGAGTGTGTTGAAAATCTAATGCAGTGTTTCTCAATCTTAATAATGTTAAGATATGTGGATTTCAACTCCCAGAATTCCCCTGCCAACATGCAGTTGGCATGGCGCAGCAGTTAGAGTGTAGTACTGCAGGCCACTTTAGCTGACTGTGTTCAGCAGGTCACCGGCTCAAGGTTGACTCAGCCTTCCATCCTTCCGAGGTAGGTAAAATGAGGACCCAGATTGTTGGGGGCAATGTAAATACATATATACATTGCTTACTGGTGTACACCGCTTAGAGAGTGCTTGCACTTAAAGCGGTATATAAGTCTCATAAATAAATAAATAAATTTGAAATATTTTTGATTGAACTGATTCTTGGAATGATGGCTCTAACTATTTTGACACAAGAGTCTAAAATGAAGAGAGGAAACAGGAGTTGGGGTGGATTTGGGAAGTCGTGGAAAGACTTCAATCTTGCATAGCGAGTATGAAATTTAGAAGCTCTGCCAAATAACAAAGCTTAAAACTCTGCATGATTTGAAATCTGGATTCTCTCTCTTCCTCTGCCTTTTAGATTCGTATCTGTCTGGTGGGGCCATTGCTGGGATTGTGATTGGATGCATTTTGGGGGGGCTCCTGATCATTGCGCTCCTGTTCTTGGGGGTCTGGCTGATCTGCCTTCGGAGAGGTGAGTTGGGCACCAGGCCAGTCAGAAAATAAAGAATAGAATAGAATAGAATAGAATAGAATAGAATAGAATAGAATAGAATAGAATAGAATAGAATAGAATAGAATAGAATAGAATATATGGAATGGAATGGAATGGAATAGAATAGAATAGAAGAATGAAGTAGAAGAATAGAATAGAATAGAATAGAATAGAATAGAATAGAATAGAATAGAATAGAATAGAATAGAACAGAACAGAATAGAATAGAATAGAATAGAGGAATGTAGAAGAATAGAATAGAATAGAATAGAATAGAATAGAATAGAATAGAATAGAATAGAATAGAATAGAATAGAATAGAATAGAATAGAATATATGGAATGGAATGGAATGGAATAGAATAGAATAGAAGAATGAAGTAGAAGAATAGAATAGAATAGAATAGAATAGAATAGGATAGGATAGGATAGGATAGGATAGGATAGAATAGAATAGAGGAATGAAGTAGAAGAATAGAATAGAATAGAACAGAACAGAACAGAACAGAATAGAATAGAATAGAATAGAATAGAATAGAATAGAAAATGGAATGGAATGGAATGGAATAGAAAATAGAAAATGGAAAATGGAAAATGGAATATAGAATAGAATAGAATAGAATAGAATAGAATAATAGAGCTGGAAGGGACCTTGGAGGTCTTCTAGTCCAGCCCCCTGCTCAAGCGGGAGACCCTATACCATTTCAGACAAGTGACTGTCCAGTCTCTTCTTAAAAACCTCCAGCGATGGAGCGCCCATGATTTCTGGAGGCAAGCTGTTCCACTGGTTAATTGTCTTCACTGTTAGGAACTTTCTCCTTAATTCCAGGTTGCTTCTCTCTTTGATCAGTTTCCAACCATTATTTCTTGTCCTGCCCTCTGGTGCCTTGGAGAATAATTTGGCTCCCTCCAAAGCACCTGAAGGCAGGACAAGAAACAATGGTTGGAAACTGATCAAAGAGAGAAGCAACCTGGAATTAAGGAGATGCTGCAACGGTTGTGTGTGAAAAACGGTCCTAAGTCACTTCTTTTAGTGCCATTGTAATTTTTTAACCAGTCACTAAATGAACTGTTGAAAGTCGAGGACCTCCTTTATTTTAATTCCGTATGCCTAGAAATGGAAAGAGGAACCAACTCTTTCTTAGTACCAAGCCAAAGTAATGTTTTGTCTGTCTTACACCTTGTAGCAAAGAAGAAAGCTCCACCAACCCCACCAGAGACTCAACACCACTATCTATCACGCCAGGTGAGACCAAAAGGGATGGATGTTTAATGAGAGACTGGGGGCCATCTGAAAAAAAAAATGGTGGATTGTCGCTCTGTGAAACTCACTGGGAAATGCCCATTTATAACTGCTTGGTCTTCTAGGCCAGGGGTCTTCAAACTTGGCCGTTTTATGACTTGTGGACTTCAACTCCCAGAATTCCTCAGGTAGAAATTGTTCATCACAGACTTTCCTCAGCGTGCCTGGCTGAGAAATTTGGGAGTTGAAGTCCACAAGTCATAAAAGGGCCAAGTTTGAAGAGCCCTGCTTGTGGACGTCAACTCCCAGAATTCCTCAGCCAGGCACGCTGGCTGAGGAATTCTGGGAGTTGAAGTCCATAAGTCATAAAAGGGCCAAGTTTGAAGACCCTGTTCTAGGCAGAAGGGGTGGTTGATCAAAGCAGTCAAGTGGAATTGACTCTCCCAGAACAGAGGCCGTAGTGACCGTTTGCCCAGGAAAGAAAGGGAAAGGACTTCTCGTTCAGCTAGTCCTCAACTTTCAGTTGTAAGTTGCGACAGTCATAAACTGACTCATCATGTGACCAACTCAATCTTATTACGTTTCTTTGCAGCAGTGGTTAAGTGAATGCTGCGGTCATTAAGTGAAACCATTGTTTACTAGGGGGCACTTTTGTCAGAAACCAGAAGTAAATTGTAAAAAGTAGTCAGTAAGATCACCTGATTGAGGGGTGCTACAACAGCGATAAAGGCGGGTTAGTTGCCAAGCACCCAAAATGTAGTTGTGTGACCACCATGGTGGGGGCAGATGTTGGAACTTCGAATCCAGGTTGCAAATCTCTTTTTCAATGCCCATTGTAACTCTGAACGGTCACTAAGTGGCCAGTCATAAAACAAAGACTACCCATATATAAAAACCACATTCCCACCAATGTTATTAGTTAGATACTAATTGATTAAAGTTTCCTTAGTGGTGGCTCTGGCAGTACAGGCAGTCCTCAACGTACAACCACAACTGAGCCCAAAATTTCTGTCGCTAAGCGAGACATTCGTTAGGTGCATTTTGCCTCATTTTGTGACCTTTCTTCTCACAGTTGTTAAGTGAACTACAGCACTTGTTCAGTTAGTAACATGGTGGCTGAATGAACCTGGCTTCCCCATTGACTTGTCAGAAGGTCGCAAAAGGTCACCCCCAGGGACACTGCAACCGTCATAAGTACGAGCCAGTTGCCAAGCATCTGAATTTTGATCATGTGACCCTGGGGAGGCTGCGATGGTCATAAGTGTGAAAAACGGTCATAAATCACTTTTTTCAGCGCTGTTGTAACTTTGAGCGGTCGCTAAACGAACGGTTGCAAGTTGAGATCTGCCTGTACATAATCATAGTACCTGGCTCAACAAATAAAGTGTTGAAAGTCCGTCACTCTTGCATTAAACGTTGCGTGGAAGAAATAAGCAGAAAGTCACAGTAAACAAGTTAACCCAACTTTCTAGACCAGGGGTAGGCAACCTTGGCTCTTTTATGACTCATGGGCTTCAACTCCCAGAATTCCTGAGCCAGCCATGCTGAGGGGAAAGGGAGAGGCTTCCAAGCTGAGGCATGCTGGCTCTGGAATTCTGGGAGTTGAAGTCCACATGTCATAAAAGAGCCAAGGTTGCCCACCCCTGTCCTAGAGGGAGCTGGGCTGTGTGGTTAGCATAAACCTAGACCAGGGGTAGGCAACCTTGGTTCTTTTATGACTTGTGGACTTCAACTCCCAGAATTCCTGAGCCAGCCATGCTGAGGGGAAAGGGAGAGGTTTCCAAGCTGAGCCGTGCTGGCTCAGGAATTCTGGGAGTTGAAGTCCACGAGTCATAAATGAGCCTACCCCTGTATCTAGGCACTAAGTGACTTGGATAATAACACTGATAGAAAAAGTGTCTTGATGCCTGGGTCACCATGTATTTCTTTCAATGTGGTTTTAGTTCCCAAATGGGAGGAAGGTTGAGCCAAGTGACTCTTCTTCGGACAATCCTCGATGGTCAGCAGGAGACTCATACATCTATGCCATCACCTATGAGGAACATCTGCCCAGATATCTTGGCCCAACCATCTCGGTAGGTCATGTAATAATAAGCCTCTTGCTATGGAATCACAGCTGGATCTGGTTGCAAGAAAAGCATTTCCTGTTCAGATCCCATCGTGGTGCCTGGTGCCCTGACAGGGTCTCTGACAGACACAGACTGTAATGGGGGATTTCCCTTCCATTTTATTTTCCAAATACGATTCCCCTATTCCTCATTGATTCTCTTTACAAAACAGCTTCAAACGCTCTCCTGATCCTACACGAAGAAACCAAGGGTTGGTATAACAATATCTTCTGATTTTTTTTCTCTCGGTGAGATGTCTTTATGCCATGCCTGGTAAAGATGATGGCGGTTTGCAGCATTATGCATTTGAAGGAGCCCGAATATTGCCTTAAATAGATTGCCGTTGGCGCCGATGTTGTTTCCAATATGGTGGGCCAATGATGGCGAACCTTTTAGAGACCGAGTGTCCAAAACTGGCCCACCCCCCGCCCCTACACTGCTCCGCCCACCCTCAGGTCCATCCACAGCCCACTGCAGATCGCCCAGGCAGCCCTGCAGCGCCATGTTGGCCACACCCTCCGCCCGCGCCCCGCATCATCTGCTGCCCAGCTGCCATGTGTTTGGCTGCGCTACTCCATGCAGGCTGCACCCGGGGTTGACTCTTCTCCAGGGGGCTGCTGGTGTGGAAGGGGCTGTGAGGAGAGGCGGGGCTGGAGTGATGGTGTGCATGCGTGCCCACATAGAAGGCTCCGAGTGCCGCCTCTGGCACTCGTGCCCTAGGTTCGCCAGCACTGTGGTGGGCCCTTTGCGCTGCCCTCCCCTTCCATCTTTCCTCAGCTGACCTCTTTTTCTCTTTCTCTTTTTCCTACTTTCTTCCTCACTCCACGTCTGAATGACAAGCCTGCCTTTTAACTTAAACTGGTTTTGCCTCAGTTCGCTGAGCCAATAACAAAATCTGAGGGCTGGCGTGCCTCCGCTGGGGATTTTAAAAAACCTCACTGAGAAATATTGCGACTTTCACAAAAACCCTTTCAGCTCCCCATAAAATTATTCAATTTTTGCTGAGTAAAACGGACTTCGCCTCCAAACATGCATCAATACCTGGGTACTCTCAGTGTTTGGTTGGTAGTAACTCAGACAGCTTTCCTCAGAGATTTCCTTCCTCTAACAGTGTTTCTCAACCTTGACAATTTTAAGGCATGTGGACCAACTCCCAGAATTCCACAGCCAGCAATGCTGGCTGTGGAATTCTGGGAGTTGAAGTCCACATGCCTTAAAATTGTCAAGATTGAGAAACACTGCATCTACCATTTCTCCTGAAAAGAAGGGGAAGTCAAAACCGTGGAAGAAGAACAAAGTTTTTGTTTATATCTCCCCCTTCCAAACAGTTTGCTAACAACACTATTATTTCTCTTTTCCCGGTTCTACCCAGCCTATTGGTATCAGGGAAGGCACTTTCTCTTCCCCAACTGTGCAACCTGGGACCAGGACGGTGCGGAATGCTACCCAGGTCTGAAATGATGAAAATCACAGTCAGCCAGACTTGATCGCTAAAATGGGACTTGTGAAGAAGACACCCAACTGGCTTTGGTCACTAAAATGAGACTTGTGAAGATGATACCCAGCTGGGTTTTGGTCACAGAAATGGAACTTGTGAAGATGACAATCAGCCACTTATGGTCACTAAAACAGGACTTGTGAAGATCACACCCAGCTGGCTATGGGACTTGTGAAGATGGCACCCAGCTGGTTGTGGTCACTAAAATGGAACTTGTGAAGATGACACCCAGCCAAATATAGTCATTGAACTGGGGTGCTGAGATCCTGAAATGTATTTGTGCCTTCTTCTCGTAGCTTGCTTAGAAACCGACAGATGGATCTCATCAGTATGAGACATGAACTTCAACATTGTTGGCTAGAAATCTCCCTCATCTAGGTAAGAACCAGCAACCTAGTCCTCCAAGAAGCTATATTCTGCACCATCAAAATTTAGACAATTATTTTTTGGGATACTGAGATTTCCGATACTGAGATTTGGAGCAGAGCACACCACAATGCAACTTGATTTGCTGGCCTCCAATAAGTCTTCTAGAGAGCTGCTGAAGGGATGGCATGTTAGAATCCCCAAGCTCGCTTTGCAGCCAAGGACAACGGACAATGTAAGAGAGACCATAGATCTTGTGCTTGGATAGAGTAGCAGGTAGGGAAGGATATGACTACAGTTGGATTGAGATGAGCCTTACTTTTCCAAAACTGTTTTAACACACGAAGCTGCTTATATTCTGAGGCTGCACACCTGCCAAAGCCCTCCATTCTGTTATCAAAAGCTCAGCATTGGAGTCTTGCCCAGTTTCTGTCTTGGACTCCAGTCAACATCCCCTGCTTGGATACAAAGGGAAACGATGGTGCTTTTAGAGCAGAACAAGGTATATCTTCCTGGCTTTTTGTTAATTTGGAGTCTGTTCTTCAGTTCTATGTGAATGTGCTGGCTGGGGAATTCTGGGAGTTGAAGTCCACACTGCGTAAAGTGGCCAAGGTTGAGAAATACTCTAAGATTACCACATGGTCTGAGTGGAGGGGTTTCCATGAATTCTTGCAGCCCCACTTGACCCCCTCCAATGGCACCAAAGTGGGATCCCCAGTCTTCAATATAAGGAGAAAATTTGGGGGGGGATGGAGGGGTGGTGGTTGGAACAGGAAAGGAAGAGAGGGTGCCATTGATTAACCCTTTCCAACCTGTCACATTCTTTGCCTAACCAGCCAATAATTCAGATAAATCTGGGCAAAGTAGGTGGCCCAGATTTAATACAGAGCTCTCCAACCTTTTGGGCACCAGGGACCAGTTACGTGGAGAGAGGTTTTTCTGCAGACTGAAGGGTGCTACCTGCATCCTGTGGATGGGGCCTTCCTTGTTTGTGCGGCCCAGGTGCTGGCATGCTGTGGCCCCATACCGGTCCACAGACCGGGGGTTGGGAACCTCTGATTTAACAGACATTCTGAACAGATAAAGAGATGGCAGTGCTTTCTGCTTTGGGGCTGGGTTGAAGAAGGCAACACTGCCTCTTAGAGAGAATAAGAAAAGATTGCAACTCCCTTGTCTGGGATAGGTTTCAACAACTTGGAATTGTTGAAAAAAGACAAGCTGGTTTTGATGTAGGGGGAGCTAATGTCCTCTAGTCAGTGATGGTGAACCTTTTAGAGACCGAGTGCCCCAAAACTGCCCCATCCCAGCCCCAGCCTGTGCCCCATGCCCAACTGTCCCCACTCCACTCTTGCCCCAGCCCCACCCACCTGCAGGGCCACCCACCACCTCCACGGCCCACCGCAGATCACCCAGGTGGCCCAGCAGTGCCATGGCGGCCACACCTTCCACCCGTGCCCTGCAGCATCATTTGGTTGCGACGGGGCGCAAGGGCGGAGTCTTGTCCCCACAGCCCGGCTGCCATGTCCTTGGCTGTGCTGCTCCAGGTGGGCCATGCCTGGGGGTGACTCTCCTCCGGGGGGCTGCTGGTGTGGAGGGGGCCACAGGAGGAGGTGGGGCTGGGGTGACGGCAGGTATGCCCCACAGAAAGGGCTCCAAGTGCCGCCTCTGGCACGAGTGCCATAGGTTCGCCACCACTGTTCTAGTTGAACCTCTTAGAAAGGATTCTGGAATTCTTGGTGTTTGGTCAATATATCTCTGCGGGCTCTAGAACAGGCAAGGGTGTTTTGTGCAGTATGTGATAGTGTGCGTGGAAATGGACGTGCTCCACTTAATCATCTGCGAGACTCTTCTTTTCGTCTCATAACATTTTCTGCGGCAATGATAGCTTTCGTGGTATCAGAGGAAGACATTTTCAGGGTTGAGAAGAAGACGGAGGGATCCTAAGATCATTCATGTTGGTTTTGCTCAATGAGAATGCAGGGTCTTTCTCCTCATCTCCTTTGCGTTATTATCTTCAGCTTTTTCTTGGTCAACTGATCAGAAGTTTCAAAAAAAGGCACACAAAGAAGAACCTCAGTAGTCCTTTCGGGGAAAAAAAAACAACCCACAACAAATGACTGAGAATGTGTTGGGTTACCGTTCTGTAAAACTGACGCAAAATCCCCTTATAGCTGGCACAAAGGAGGCTATAGTTGCAAGAAAATTAAAACTGTGTTAATATATAACACAGTTTTAATTTTCTTAGTAATACTACTGTTCCCTTGCGCCAGCATTAACGTGAGTACTTATTTGCTTCTGAAGAGAAATATGGAAGACCTTTATTGAATTTGCTTTGCCGTGGTCTAATTAAGGGGGGATAAAAGCAAAACAAAAACAAAACTGGGAATTAAAAACAATGTAGTATGAAAGTTTTAAGGTAACATATTCAATGGAGGTTCTCAGGAAAGCAGCTAAGAAGAAAAATCAGCTCAGGAATGGGAACAGAGTCAGGATTATCCCAGATTAGATGCAAGAACCAAATGGACCAAATACGATCAAGACGCTTATTGGCAGGATGGAAAATGAAAGCTTCGGATGCTGCAGATTTCAAAATGGAAATAGTTTGGGGGCTTTTGGGGTCCAACAGAAGGACCAGGGCCCATCAGAAGTACAAATACTCTACTTACAATCACAAGTTGCAACCGTCGTAAATATCTGCTGATTGCTAGGTGCTTCAATTCTGGGACTTGAACTCCACACAGCTTAAAGTTGCTGATGTTGAGAAACACTGGTCTGCCAAATAAAATAGCTCCCAGCAATGAAGAGAACACACACACACAAACAAGAAAAAAGCAAATGGAAAGTTCAGATCCGTAATTCAGTTTAACCATCTTGACTTGGAAGTAAATCTCCAATAAACCTATTTAAGACTAGCAGCATTATTGGTGGGGAAGCTCCATGACTCTCTGGTTATGTTATCTGTTGCATTAAAACTTTATCATGAGCCAACGGCAATTCAATTCCCTGGAAAAATGGGGTTTTTTAAGACGACAGTGTTGCAAATAGTATTACAAACTGAGCAGAATCCCATCATTTGAATGAAGGTGCAAACTAAAGTTAGGCTAATTTTTACTTGTCCTAAATTTTCCAAAGATTGTAATTTTCATCTATTTTTTTAAAAAAAACCAAAGTGTGCATATTTTTAGAAAGGTACTTAATGAATTTTGTATTGGGAGGGGAAATAAAATATATTTTAATATATTCGTTTTTGTATGGATTTTTTTTAAAGTGAAGATTAATGGGGAAGGGAGGCATAAAAGGTTATCAGTCATTGTTCTGTCTCTGATGTCAAATGGGTCTAGTCCAGGGGTAGGCAACCTTGGCTCTTTTATGACTTGTGGACTTCAACTCCCAGAATTCCTGAGCCAGCCATGCTGAGGGGAAAGGGAGAGGTTTCCATGCTGAGCCGTGCTGGCTCAGGAATTCTGGGAGTTGAAGTCCAGGAGTCATAAAAGAGCCAAGGTTGCCTAGCCCTGACCTATACTAAGATAACTTCTCTAGTGCTGTCTCTCTCCTTGTGTGGGGATGTCACAGCTATGTTGCCATGGCCATCTCACTGTGGCCAACTTGCCATGGCCATCTTGCCACGGCTAGTGAGACAAATCACTGTGGCCAATTCACCACGGGACAACTCTCTGTGGAAAAATCCACATGAGAAAACTCAAGGCACTATTTCTTCTACACTGTTTCCATGTTTTGTGGCAGATAATATTCATCACACTGAGTTATCCCATGTGGAATTATCCCGCAGCGATTTGGCTGCAGAACTTGGCCGTGGTGAAATGGCCACAGAGACCTGGCCACAAAGAGTTGCCCCATTTTGTGTCAAATTACTCCAAATTCCAGGCAATAATGCATTTCTCTTGAACAGGAATGGACACTAAACATTCAACACCATCACCAAAGCCCTTGTTTGGAGAAGATTGTGGGTGGGGTGGGCAATGGGTCAAGGGACGAATACAATTCAAGGGGTACAATAGGGCAGGATATGCCTCCCCATCCATGCCTATACCTACATCTGTGCAATTGTACAGGTAATCCTTTACTTACGACCACATAAGGGACCAGAATTTATGTCGCTAAGTGAGCTGAACCTGGTTTTATAACCTTTTTCTGCCACAACCATTAAGCAAATCACACAGTCCTTAGACCCGCTGTAACTTTGGCCATTAAGTGATCAATTATAGCTATATTTCGAAAGGGCCTTCTTCATAATTGAATCACCTTCCTTATGTCTGGAAGACCCATCAGGGACTGGCTACTCAAAGTGGTGGGATGGGAAAAGAGGTCACCGCCACAGGGAGAAAGTTTCAAGAGCCCTATGCAACCTTTGGATCTTTCTCAATTTCTCCCACTATTTAGAGTAGAATGTAATAATAACAGATTGGGAAGGGACCATGGAGATCTTCTAGTCCAGCCCCCTGCTCAAGCAGGAGACCCTATACCATTTCAGACAAGTGACTATCTAATCTCTTCTTCAAAGCCTCCAGTGTTGGAGCACCCACAACTTCTGGAGGCAAGTCGTTCCACTGATTAATTGTTCTCACTGTCAGGAAATTTCTCCTTAGTTCTACCTTCCTTCTCTCCTTGATTACTTCCCATCCGTTGCTTCCATCTATGCAACCTGAGCTTTTCCACTTTCCTGTCTTTTGGCATCAGTTTTATTTATCTTCCTGCCCACATACACACAACATAATTGATAGGCCACAGTGGGTGTACCAGACCAACCAGAACAACGGCACAGGGCTGTGGGCCCAAATGCTGGTGCAGGATGCTCTCTTCTCAGGAGATAGTGACCTATTGTTTGGCCCTACCCTCCCTCCCCCCCCCAAAAAAAAAATATGAGCCTTTTGGTATTTAGCCCTGCTAATCTGGCTTGATAGCTGTCTCCCTTCTGGCTCTTCGGTCATTTTTGTTGCTTTTCAATGGGAACCGAGTTGAAAGCTAAATGAATGGCTGCTCCATGATGGGCAATTGCTCTGATTGCAGGCAGCCCAGGGGATTAAACAAAGAGACAGAAAAAGAGAAAAACAGGTCCAGCTGGACGTAAGTTGAGGGAAAGCTGCAGGAAGACTGATAGGAATTGTTCTGTTCCAGAGACGAGCGGATGACTTAGCGTAAGGTGACCAACTTTTTTACAATGAAAAGGAGGACACAAATAAATTGAAGAAAAAAATATCGTAAATAAAAGAAACATTTTATTCATTGCAACAATAATACAGACAACTTGCATGTGCAAAGTTTGCCAGCCGGGTATTTTGGCATGCTCAAGCAGCAATTCCTATTGGCTTTCGAAAGCCAATAGTGGGAGTAGCACAGCTCATGCAAAAGTTGAAAAAAAAAACCATCAAAAAAAGGTGCCGGAACGCCCTTCTGAGCGTTCTATGAGGAAAAAAAAGCCCTGCAGATTAGTCTTCAAATATTGAAAAGGAGGACATGAAGGAGGACACTTTTCGAGGGAGGACAGAACTTACAA